TGACTTTGCTAGGGAAATGCAAGTCATCAAACCCAGTCTGAGCAACTTACTCTGGTATCACCGGAGTCCCCATCAAGTATAGCTGTTCTCCCAGGGGACGTTAGAACTTTCATAGTTCAGCTAACAGTGATGCTTGATAGTGCTGCCTCCAATGGATATATCAAATTTAACCCATCAGAAGAGCAGGAGAAGGTATAACCACTTGCAAACCATTTTGAATCTCTGCAGGACTGACGGTGCTTATCAGTCACAAAAAGATGTATGCTCCATTGCACGTTAACATGGGAAAAACTGCTAGCAGTTCTGCCAACCATGTCAATAGCCCCATTGCTGGAGACTGCACAAGGACACACACACACAAAATTTATAGCATAAGGGATTAAAACAGATGAAGAGCAAAACTGAAAATGATGAGGATCAACCCCATTGCTTTACGAATTACTATTATTAGACAACGCTTTAGATTTAAGAATCTAAAAGTGTTCTTCAGGTAAGTAAAAAGATCTGTAAGTTCAATTACTTTTATTATTGTGCTCCCTCTGCTGGTTCTAAGAAAATCACTGTCAGAAAAAAATTATCTGCAGAACTATGTTGATGACTGTGCTTACCAATACACAACAGCTGGACACTGGAAATGCCCCGATATCTTGGCTTAAGTTTCTTTAGACCCAGAGGAGGAGACTTCTGGGTTTTTCCAAAGACTGACAAAGACAACCCTGAGAGGAAGGTGCTCCCTAATTCCTAGGAAAACATTGCAAACAGTTGGGGAAACAACACTCTCCTGAAGAGCAGCAGAAAACAGCATACAATATTGTCTTGTTTTGTCCCTGTAGTTCATCCATGGGGAAATTCAAAACTCAACTGGACAAGGCCCTCCAGCAGCCTGATCTATGTTGGACAATCTCAGAGCAGTGGGCTTGACAAGCTAACTTTCAGAGGTCCCTTCCAACCTATATTATTATGTGATTTTATCTTCTTTTTGGTTGTGTTTTTTGTTTTGTAGGGTTTTGGGGGTTTGTTTTTTTTTTTTTTTAATTGCAACTCATTATGGATTTTATCTTCTTTTTGGCTGTGTTTTTTGTTTTGTAGGATTTTGGGGGTTTGTTTTTTTTTTAATTGCAATTCATTATTGATACAGTGACTAAAAGCTGAGAAGACTGGGAATTTTTTACCCATATGTATTGCTAAAAGCTGCAGATCTGCCTTTTTTTTTTTACAAATTTTATGGAAGACAATATGGTTTTTTAACTTCTAATATGAAAACTGGTTACTGATTTCCTACAAATATAAACCTGATCTGTCATTCAAAGAGGGGCTAGATATACTCCAAATTACGATTTTTTTGGATGGCTATCTAACATCTTGTCTATGCAAAAATGTCATACATTAAATGGCTTGGGAACCATGACAACACTAGCTGTGTAGAGCTCACACAAGCTCAATCAAGCCATAATCAAGGATTTTCTTATGTGATTGTCCATTATCTCCTCCTTAGTCAGAGATGCACATTATAGGAGTAAAAAGATCAGAGTGGAATCACCAGCATTAATTACATGCTAGACTAGATCTGTCTTCCTTAAAGTGCTGTCTAAAAGAATTTGGAGTACCTCTAGGAGATTCAAAGGAGTCTTGCACTGATTCTGCACAGGCTGTAAACCAAAAGTATTAGCAGCACAAGTCAGTGTTACTGAAAATATATCAAGTTCTTCATATTTGATGAAGTCTATTCAACTCTGTGAACACACAGAAGGACTACTATATCCTTCTAATGATGAGAAGGTACCTAAAAATATAGCACACTGTATGTGTTTACCACAAAAAAAGACGTTTTACACTAGCTCATTCCTGTGTATATTTATTAGACTAAAGACTTATTAATAGTAGCTCAGTCATTTGAAGCCTGTGTGTAAAATACTTTTTCTTTGTAAGTTTGTTTGAAAAGGCACAACCCTCTTCAGTCTTCTTATTTAGGTAAACTTCCTGAAGCAATTCTGGAAGGTCTGACCAAGTTAAGAAAGAAGACCTAAAGGGGCTCCAGGAAAGCTGGGGAGGGACTCTTGATGAGGTAGTGGAGCGATAGGATGAGGGGTAATGGTTTTAAACTAGAAGAGGGAAGATTTAGATTGGATATCAGGAAGAAAATCTTTGCTGTGAGGGTGGTGAGAGCCTGGCCCAGGTTGCCCAGAGAAGCTGTGGCTGCCCCATCCCTGGAGGGGTTCAAGGGCAGGTTGGAGGGGGCTTGGAGCAACGTGGTGTGGTGGGAGGTGTCCCTGCCCAGGGCAGAGAGGGGGACTGTATGATCTTTAAGGTCCCTTCCAACTCTAACCATTCTATGATTCTATATACATATTTTTCCTATGTCCAAAGAGAAAAAGAATTTTATTTTTTTTTTAATCAACAACTGAAGTATGGACTTGATTAGTAACTTGGAATCCTTAAATGCTCTGAAGTTCAGTAATACAACAACACAGCTTTCGAGGCAGAAACCGTGAAAGATGTTGTCAGTAAAGAAGTTACGAGTGTAACAAATCATGAACCAGTTACATGCCTTTCCTTGCAGAAGTTTGGACTATCTAATCCACCTGTTAGGTTTTTTTCACAAGTGTTACCCTAAAACAGGAAAACAAACATAAAACGGTAGAGTTCCTCAGAACAAGAGCAGAAATTCATTAACTAAAATAATAACACAGACACAGCACAGAACATCCAGATGTAAACAATAGTAAGTTGAGTGAATACACTGTGGACCACACGGAGATCAGATAAGGCAATGAAGATTTGAGGAGACAAATGCTTACATACAGAGAAGAGCATTTAAGAAATACATCCTGCAAGTGCTGAAACTGTAAAGAGCTGTTCAACACACAGACTGCTGCCTGCAGCCCAGTATTTAATATGAATGTACGACCAAGCTGAAACAATGCAAGTGAAAAAAGAAAAACAAAAAAAATCCCAAACCATACCATGTGATTTAGACAGCCAATAAAAGCTATGCAAGAGCAAATAAATAAATATGAACAACAAACAAACGCAAAGAGCTTGTGAACTACTCATGGATTTTTCATGAGATGAAAAAGAAATTTGTCAGACAAATTATTTGCTCTGAATTATTCACTCAGCTGTAATTATGGTCATTGGCAGGCGGAGAAACCAGTAACTTAGACTGATGATTCCAAGTTCCTCAGCAAATCCTTCATCAGAAGACCTTATCTCAAGAAAAAAAAAACACAAAAAACTTTTTTGCTCTCTGAAGGAAGCAAGTATTTCAACAAGGAGCCGCTTTCTTTCACCTTTGCTGAAGGCAGCAGGAACATGTGGGAATTTTGACTTTACAAAATACTAAGTATTTTATAAGAAGAATTTATTTTCAAAAATCAAATAATTTAGTGTAATGACTAGTCAGAGTGATTCACTCCATCTATACTAAAAGCTTTAAACCTCTAGTAAATTCCAAGAAGCACTAACGTGCCTTTCTTCCACATGTGTAAATCTTAACTTAGTTAAAATTTGTGCTCCAAAGGGTGTGCTCTCCCACTCCAGAAATACTGCATTAGCATTCAATACAAAAGTCCTTCTACTCTGCAACAAGGTAGACACACACAAAAAAAATCCTAGGCTCTCACAGTACAAAAATCCTTCTACTGTGCAACAAGGTAGACACACACACAAAAAAAATCCTAGGCTCTCACATTCAAGCAGAATTTTTTCCAGTCTTTTTCTGTTCATTTGAAAAGCAGACTTGCAGTCAAATTTCATTTAAACAAGTGATTACCTCTTACACTTCCCATCTTATGCATCCACTGATTACATTACTCAAATTTACAATCCTGCTTTCAAAGGTTTTTCCACAGTTTTGTCTATTCTTTTCAGTCCTCACACCTCTAACTTTTCATATACTGAAAATTTTTTGTCATCTACCTATTCAAAACATAACCAAAAAATTAAAAGGTTGTCCACTTCAAAAATTTCCTCTCCATGGGTAGACTAATGAGGTGAGGCATTTGAAGATGAACAGAAGCTAATTGTTCCCTCACATTCCTCTGTCTTTGAATCCCTCAAGAGTGACCAAGGGAACAGGGAGACTTCTGCCCTCAGACTTCATGGAGCAGTGGCCGCAGGCACCCCATGCTCTCTTGCATCTGTGTAACACCCGTATGAGATATTACACAGCACAGGGTAAACAGTAACACAGAGCACAGAACAGCAAACAGAAAGAAGCACTGATTTTATATAAAGTTAGAAAAGAAAACGTCTTCTAAACTACTTTCAATTTGTGATTAGGAAAACAGACAGAGTATAAGAGCTGTGAAAAAAAGCCTTCTTGCTTCTCAGCCAGAACAGAGGCGATCACCTGGGTTCAGTGTAGTACAACACTGTACACAACTACCAGGGAAAGAAATAGCTACCACTATAAAACTGTCTGCCAGGAGTATTGACCTCGTTGCCAAAAATTTCATTATGTGGATATAGACTTAACACATTACTTAATAGAAAAGGCAAGCTTCCGATTTGTTTAGTATGTTCATGAAGACATACCTGCAGAGTAATTTTAGGAAAGAGTGAGCAGGCACGGATACAGAGTGCTGCTTTTCTGATAATATTAAGTGGGCTACAGGTAGGCCTCTAGAAAGAAATTTATTCTGAAGCGCAGAGTTGAGAGGAAAAAAAATCTGCACTTCTGAAAGAATTTTTTAATACTTAAAAAAAAAGGTAAATAGATATGTTTCTGCTCACTGGGAACATACTGGTAATAACTGCCACTTCCTCCCTCTTTTTAAATAAGAAATTGTATTTTTGTCATCTTAAATAATTATCTAACCAAGAGGATTGTTACCACGAAAATCTCTTGCAAAAACAAACTAAAGAACCCAATAAAATGGTCACCTTGGATGAAAAAACCCCGACTGACATTGTGAGGATATTATAATCACTAATTGGATACATTTCAAAGCTTTATATAGATAAAGCATTACATATATGTGCAGAGTTGTATTCCTTACCCTGATCTGCTTGTGAAAATGCCCCAAAGAAACTTCTCGTTGCCTACTTCAAGCTGATGCTCAGGCAGTTCACTGTACATCTTGTCAGTTGTTAAATGGTACTGTCAAGGCTTCAAACTGACAGGAATCATCCTAAGTCAGAAGATGCATTCATAAATCTGTGTAAAAAGAAGCAATTTCAGTCAGCATTTGGTTTCTCTAAGAATGGAGAGACAGTGCATAACTGTGTCACAGAATTTCTCTCTATCCTGGTGGGGAGTCTCAGGGCATTTACAGAGTTTTGGTTTCTCTAAGAATGGAGAGACACAGTGCAGAACTGTGTCACAGAATTTCTCTCTATCTGGTGGGGAGTCTCAGGGCATTTACAGAGTAAAATAGGACTGAACACAAGTAGAAAACCTGATGGCATTGTCACAAAAGCAAGTTCACTATGATTTAAATAAGTGATCCAATAGCCACATCATAAAACATCAGGTTTGGGAATGACTGTACTAAAATACGTGGACATGTCTTCAGTAAAACCAATGAGCCCGCACGCACTGTGAACCGTACGTATAAGTGGAACACATGCTGGCCACTGAGCACTGACCATGTTGACATAAATTTCAATTCACATCACAATTTCATGCTGATTATGTAATAGAACACATTAGTTTTCAACTGCATAACAACTTTTTCTCAGGACATGGTTAGCAGAACCAGGAGAGTAGGTGTTGTCAGGGCATAGGCAGCAGACACATAGGAGCTGTAGGATTACTGCCTCTGCACGTGGTTTTCCCCCAACACAGGAAATTGTGGGTTTGATGTTTGTTTTTAACTAGTGTTCAAATGAAAATTTCACCTCAGTGCTAGAGAGTTCAGTTTTCCAAAGAGAAAGCCTAAGACAAGCAGTGGGTCCCTAATGAAATCAAAGCAAAGCAAAATATAGAGGAGATTCATTAGGTCCCCACCAAATTCATTTCAAATGGGCCTACAAATTAAGAAAGATCAGTGGATTCATAAACAGGATCGGTATAAATTGAATGGGGTCTATCACTGAAGTTTATGTGAAATAACTGTCACTACTTCTGGGATAACTGATTGTGTCCCATACTTCACCCAAATAAACATCACCTCTTCTCGTCACACAGATTCCCACCAGCTCCCTCCTATCAACTGGTGTCACTCTGCCAGAAAGCTCCCTTGATTGCATTCGCATCTTTGGAGAAATCCTTCCCATGAGAGGCCCCACTTTGGTTAAAACCGTGGGTGCACGGATGAGAAGTTTGCTGTAGGAGAGGCAAAGACCATCCCCAGAACATCTCTGCTGGCCTCATGCCGCGCTGCCTTCCCAGCGCCGCCCTCCATGGGAGCTGCTCAAACGGCCAGCACGGGCAGTAATTGCTGCCGACATTGTTCAGGGCCTTGCCTCGCTGCCAGAGACAAATCTTTCATTCATGAAGAAGTGCTTGTTAGGCCAGCGCTGGACTCCAAACCCACTTAATTAAATTGGAAGGAAAAAAAAAAAAAAAAGGTCACTTAGCTGTGGTGGGAAATTTGCACACAAAGGCCCGGTGGTGTCTGGGTTCTTCCTCGCTATTGTGGCTCCCAAACAGTTTCACAATATACCAGCATCTCCCACCCCCCCTTCCCCCATCCTGTCCCTCTCCAGCCACTGGAAAGGCAGCAGACACCCTCATTAAAAGACCAGTTTGTTATGAAATGTTTTCCCAACAATTCACTAACAGGGCTTTTCTCCGCAGCAATCAAGGGCTTGCAAGGGCTCTCCAAGGGCAGGATGCTTCAAGAATTTCAAAAATAGAGAGTGTAAACAGGTACATGGAAAAAGCCTCTTCAGAACAGTTATGTAAACATTCCCAATGCGATTTAAAAACCTCCATGCTGAAACCATCAAGTCTGACTCTTTCCCTTAATTATGTTCACACACCCCTGCTGCATATACCACCAACAGCACTCAGGGCCGAGCCACGGAACAGGCCTCGAACAGGCCTCAGTGTCAGTAAACAACAAGCAAACAAAACCTCAACACCCACCCCCAAACACAGCTCACATTTTCCAAGTAGCAGCCACAACCCTTCTACCCGCACTAAATTTCAGGTGACACAAGTGATTTTGTGAAGAGAGAGTCAGGAAATAGAGTTAAGAACCAAACACAACACTTAAAATGGATTTTGCTTTGGCCTAATCTGGATATTGTAGGTCTTTGTCTTGGCTTTCAAATTTACACAATTTTTTGCTTGGTGGTTTGTTGGTTTTTTTTAACATCCATTTAATGGATGTTATGTTGGAGCAGCGACCACAGATCTGAATACTACACAAAATAAAGCCAATTGCCAGTATTAATAATGGATTGCAACAGTATTTCAGAGAAAAGTACATGGAAAGTATCACTAATATTTAATAACATCAAATGTTGTTCTTCCTCTGCACATAATATTCCTTTCTGTATGAATAACAGCAATCTGTTCTATACTAACAAATCATCACTGAATTATTTTTCTATTATATGGTAAATAATGTTCAGAGTAAAATTACCTAATTCTGTATGACAGCTACATTCAGCTGTTTCTATATAATTCTCTACTATAATTGAATATTGATTTACATAAAGTAAAATGTTTATGTCTTTATGTGAAACCCAGTAAATTAATAGGGACAATAACGTCTTATTTCTTGAGATTCCATAGAGTCAATATAAAATCATAGCACTAAAGCATTGAGAAAAGTTAATTAAGATAGTTAAGCTAAGAGTCAAAGAAAAACATCAAACTGTCCAACAAATTACATCAGCATCATAGTAGATGTATTTATGTTATTGTTTCTATCCTTACAAAATCCTTAATCTTTTCTACAGAAAAACAAGATAAATACTTTTTTGCACAGTAAATTAATAGGGACAATAATGTCTTATTTCTTGAGATTCCGTAGAGTCAATATGAAATCATAACACTAAAGCATTGAGAAAAGTTAATTAAGATAGTTAAGCTAAGAGTCAAAGAAAAACATCAAACTGTCCAACAAATTACATCAGCATCATAGTAGATGTATTTATGTTATTGTTTCTATCCTTACAAAATCCTTAATCTTTTCTACAGAAAAACAAGATAAATACTTTTTTGTCATACCACTTGAGTTGTCATTAAATAAAATAGGGAAGTGATATGAACACAAATATCTTTGATACTCAAATATTTTGCTGTATGTGTCGTCCTGTAGCTCCTGATGCTGAATTGAAATCTGCTCTTACACCTGTGATTTCTGCTTGGCACTAAAGAGATTGGGCCCTACTTGTGTTATCAGCCCTTCAAATTTCAAAATATAGATCTTTCAGAATCTCCTACATTACAGTTATAAAGCTCTTCTTTCTCAACTGACAAAAGGCAACACCACATAGTGAGCTGGTTTTTTGCAGTAGTGTTTTTCTGACACTTACCCATAAAGAAAAAGAAGCAGTATTGGAAAATTATATCCATTGTTGTCCATTGCATTTCTATAAATATAAAGGTGGCTGGATCAGAATATCTGAGGTTCTCAGAAATTCAAGTATATCTCTTCCAGACTGTGTTTTTTCTGATAGCAGAAGGTGCTTCCATTTATTCGTGCTTGCATTAAAAATGTTATTTAATATTCTTAAAAGACAACAAATCTGAACACATTTTATGGTTATAGAAAATCTGAAATAAGAATGTCTTTTAACTGTCTACACTTGAAGTTATTGTTCCTTTTTTAAAAAGTTTAAATTAAACTTATTATAAGATTACTCATAGATACCAATGCAACAAGTACTTTTTATGGTTTTGACCTATCCCCTTAGCCTTGTTTTCTGTCCTACTGCAGAAAACCTTACAGTTATTCAGATGTAGGAAAACATCTCAAGAGGAGGGAAAAAAAGGAGAAAAATTCTTAAGAGTAAAAGAAAGCACCTTCTTTGGCTCTTAACTGAGCCACTACCAAAAAAAAAAAAAAAAAAAAGGAGAGAAGAATTGGTTATTCTGGTCCTCTTTAAAAGCCTTTCCAGCTTTACATCTGAACTGTTTATTTTATGAACACCACAATACATTTTTGATCAGGTTAATTTTCAACTTCCCTAAAACTAACTAGAATGTAATCTGAATCTAAGATCAGAAATTATTTTTGGGATGAATATTTCAGATTACTCTTTTGTGACCTGTCTAAATTAGGTAAAATTCTAACAACAAAACTATAATTTCCAATTATTTTTCATCTCATTTCCTGTACTCTAAGTAAAATTCTAACAACAAAACTGTGGAAATTATTTTTCATCTCATTTCCTGTACTCTAAGCTACCAAAAAGTATGAAATGTCCAGCTCTTTCTGCGAAGTGTGTAATGAAAATATACTCTTTAGTTACTGTAAACTGTTATTTTGGAAATCTCCAGTGACATTTCATACTTTGTGATTATTTCAATTTTGATAATACGAACTTTTAGATGTTCAATATTGTATTATGTTGAGGAAATGGATATAAATATGCTTGATTTGACTCCCCTGCAGAACTGATTCCATAAAAAATGGAGTAATGTTCTTAGTCTTCCTTGATTCTTAATTAAAACAATTATTTTGCTGTACAGTCCTTCCTCTGCCTGTTCTTTTGTTCTTTCATGTGTTAGGACACATTACTACTTTGATTTGTTTTCATTATTAGTAGCTTTTAGCAATGGAAAAGAGTTAAAATTGTTAGTTTATAACATGCCTTTTGCAGCTATAATTCATGTACGTTGAGCAGAAGCTGAAAGCATTAATTTGTCAATCAGTCCTGCTCTGTATCTAGTCCCGCTTGAAATAGAATAAGTACACACACAAAAAAAAGATCTCTAAACATTTCCCAGAGGTAAATGAGATTGTAAACAGTCAGGTATGTTAGGATTTACTGAGACTATTAGCTATAATTCTGAAGCAGATTGCACATATGATAGTATGTTGCAAATTCAAGGAGGTTTCAGTATAGGAACCTCCTTTTAAGCTAGATAACAACATGAAAATTTACTTTTTACTGTAAGATCCATTTTCAATTCACAGATCAGACCCAGGAGTTAAAACTAACCACCATGAAATATTTTTTGATGTTAAACTGAAAACCCTCTGGAAATCTCTGAAGAATTTCAGCGCACATCTGATAGCAGAGGGAGT